GGGTAAATAAGTGGAGGTAGTTGACTGAGATATTTATATCTCCTCACAAGATGTGTTACAATTTATTATCAAATGTGAGCATTATAACATCTTTGAACTCTTTTAGCATAGTTCACACTTTCACTTTTACTGTATTTAAATTTTGTGCCCAGAAATTCTGCACAGGTGCAATTGTTATTCCCTGGATTATTGACAGTGGATTATTCCCTGGATTCCCTGGATTATTTACTCAAAAGATTTAGAATAACAGCCTGTTTTTAGGAGACATTTTGGCACAGTAAAACAATTTTGATTTGCATTTTTTGAGGTCTTCATCATGTATTTGGTGTTCATTTTCTGATTCCCAGAGAGTTTCATAGAAAAGAAAAAGTCACAAGTTCTTCTATCTAATTTCTGTATCTGCACAGCTGATTGCATCTTTTGTCAGATGAGGGCAGTAGTCTGGGTCCCTGGATCAGCATTGTTAGGAAGGAAATACCAGTACTTCTTTCTTGGTGCCTAACCCCCAGTAAATACTATGGTAAAAAGCAGTAATCAAATTAACTGCCACACATCTAGTAAATGTGTACCCACACACAGCTGAGTGTGTTTAGAAATGGGTAAACTGAAGTAACAGAAAACAATAGTTATTATTACTTGTACTGTAACTCAGCTTTAAAAGGTTAATTTCATTCAGCTGCCTCACAGATGAAATATTTAAATAGCCTCTACCTTAGAACCTAATCCACAGATAAAATCTATCTAAGTAAGTATTTCATGTAGAACATTGCTTCCATTGAAGGCGATCTCGACATGGGAAAGTAAATCCTTATTTAACTATTTTCTCCCTAAGGTCATATACACATCAACTGAAGGCAATTCTTCAAGGACTAAAGATTCATAAACTCAGCACTTAATCTAGATAACAGGTTCTAAAGCTTCTCCCAGAGGTTTGCAGAGTGCTCCTATCTGACTTGAGAAATGCTGCTGGTTGCTAGACATTCTCAGGCAGCATTTGGGCAGAAAGTAAATTTCTTCCCTCTGATAAACTGGCCTATTACTTAACTAACTATAAATAAAGAATTCACATACTATGAAGGGAATGTTTTCTGTACATCAGCAAGACAGAATTTGCATATCTTTCTGCACTGAAAAAAAATATTGCTTTTAAATATATAACTTTGATAAGCATACTTTACATGCACATAGACTGTAGAAGGGGTTGGAGGCTGATGGTGGTTTGGGGGTGGATGACATCACACCATCCTCCATTCAAAAAATACCATTCTAATGATCTCTAGTACTAATGATGAAATCAAACATACTTAAATACCAATTACACCAGAATAGTTCATTCTTTCCTTTAAAAAGAACAGGTATAAGATAGATCCTGTATATAGAAGTGTGAAGCGGTTGCTTTGATGATGCAAGGTTCTGGCAATGGAAGCTGGCTCATGACAGGCAGTCACCACTCTTGAACCCCCCTTTTCTAAATTACTGACCTTCAGAAATACACTTCACTGCAGCTTTAACTTATACTGGCAGTGTCCTTCAGAGATACAGAAGTAATGCCCAGAATTGGCCAGAAAACAACTGCCTTTGAGTTCCTCAGTAAGAGCATGACAACCTCAGCTTCCTGACTGTTACATTTTATGTTCCATTCTTTTCTATTTCACGACAACAAAGAAATTTTCCCAGATGAAAAATCCAAAAGGAAGAGTTTTTATTAGGTTTCTGAGGAATATATCATGCTGGCCTTTGATGACACAGGAAAGGTAGCAATGAACACTTTCCTACCATGTTTCCTTTTCAAGTTTGTGTTGGCACACGACCAGCAGCAATGAAATATCCTCACAGAACAGAGATCAGGTACTTTGACAATTTTCTAGGAAATACATTTTCTAAAAGGAAAAGACTTGTTTCTTTGGTCCCTTTTCTCAGTGAAAAGCTTTGTCTCAGGTCTTCCTGGGAAGTTCATTAAAAAAAAATTTGAAGGTGCATTTGAGGTAGACATGCCATTTCAAGTATTTCTAGCAGAAACTTAATAAAATATCCCCAGGTGCCATTACCCTAATAATGGGGAATTTTTGACAATTCCCCTCTGAAGGGAAACCCCAAATCCAGCAGCTGTGGCTGGTGAAGAGCAGTATAGCCATTTCTATTTATCCATCTGAAAAGCTGAGTGCCAGTGCAGGCTTAGATGAAAACACAGTGGAAACTGAACACATTCTGACACTGTTGTGAACTATCTGTTGCTTTGGGAAGTCCCTGGTCTTTATCTTCCTGTATCCCATATGCAGGAGAGTTATTATAATGGTCACACCATCTTATCACATTTAGATAGTAAGTGTTCAGTTCATATCACAGGAGAGCTAAGCCCTGTGCAGGCACATTGCAGAAAGGTGAATAGCTACAAAACTATATTAAAGACTGAAAAGATGAGAGGTGCAGCCACTTACAGGCACTTGATTTAAGTAGAACAGAGAAGAAACTTCTCAGGTGCGAGCTCAAAAACCAGCAAAGCCTGTGGGTCTCACCTGAAAGAAAGGAACTTACCTCAAAGCCTGAAGAGGCTGAAGCATTCCTGTATTGCCTTTTTATCCACATTTCACAGTGAAGGCTACTGAGCTAAAGCCAGGAGAGCTTGCTGTAGTTCTGCCATCAGGACAGGCAGCAGGAGAAACTCCTTGTGGTTCAGTGAAATCCAAGTGTGAAAGCTGAGCAGAAACATCAAATTCTGAGCAGACACCTTCGTTCAGATGGATCAGATAGAGAACAGGGTATGAGAACACAAATGATTTCTTGAGTAGAATGCCAAAGAAAGTGAGTACTCCAACAGAAATACCCTCTGCAGCAGAAGATACATAGATTAATACAATGGCACACACATAGCACAGCAGAGTGCTCCCCAACCCCTTTACCTTGATGTCACGTCCAGCATTTAATTTTCTCTGCACACTGTAATTTATTAGTGTGCATTGCTCATTCTTCCCTTCTTTGTTCTGAGATTTACCCAGCTTCTGCAAAAAACTCGGTACACAATGACCCTCTTCTCCGTAAGACTGTCAGATGCCAGGAAAAACAGGGTAAGTAATGACACAACATCAATGATAATAAAAATCTTACTTTTAGCATAACTTCTAAATAAAAGCATAGCTGTGGGATTTAAACCTAGAGCAGTGCCTGCAATACTTGGGTGTCACAAGGTTTATTAATCTCCATGGGAGTAAGGGGCTTCTGACCAAGTGGTCCCTCTAGGTTAACTCCATGGGGTTAAAAATGCTGTTACCTTGTCCCATTTCCCCAGCAGTCCTTGGGCTTCTCTGAAAACAAGAAGATATCTGTAGGAAGCAGCCAGTAAAGAAACAGGTTAATGAAGTTTTTTAACGAGTTTTGCAGTCTGTTCTGCAGTGAGATAAGGCTTAAAACCATGAACCAAGTGTAGGGAGAAAAAGACCACCCCTTCTGTAGGGTGAGAGAAAACTTGGAGCTGCTCAGCCTGCTGGGACCTAACACAACTGTAGAATCATAGAATGGTTCAGGTTGGAAGGGACCTTAAAGATCATCTATCATTCAATAAAACAGGTATGATTCTGAAAACCTTTTGAGAACAACAGTCTAGACCTACTGCTTCAGTTGTTGCTGTGACAAGATGCATGAAGCTACATGACCTCAAAGTTGGGAAGATGGCAAATCTTGTGGCACAGATGCAAGTAAACATTTTGGGTAAAGATGTTCCTGATATTTGAAAGGCCTAAAGCAAAGCTGAAGAATAGATCCCTCAATTCTAAAGCAATAACCATCAGCAAGTGCTGAGTCCAATCATAAAAAAGGGCTATTTCAGGAGGAACAGACCATCCACTGGTCCTGGCCAGTGGAAAGCATCTACCTGCAGCAGAGCAAGCACATGCAGGAAGCAAGAGCCAGTTTGAAAATACAACCAGACCTACAGCATCTTGCACATCAAATCTACACACTAGAATTGACATACAGAAAAAATAAGTGAATTATAACAGGATAAAATGCCCTAAGTATTAAAAAAAACTATGGATATAGACACAGCATATTAAACATGTATTTTAAAAAAATCCTAAATTTAAAAAAAACTCTTGATATCACATCACATCTGAGCTCCAAATGTCTGGACAGCAATTGATGCATTCCTTACTCAATATATTTCTGAGTCTGATGAAAGAGAACAACAGAGTTCACAAAAAAGAACTCACCTGAAGAAAGGGCCATCATTGTATCCAAATGAAGAGCTAACAAGAACATCTAAATGTGGCATTCAACTGTTCATCTGTAGAAACATCCATAACTCCTCACAGATGCTAAAAACACAACCTTTTAACTCTGGTCTCTTCTCCCTTTCTGCATTCCATGCAGGAACAGGAAGCACCCAGCTTTCCAGACAAGCACACATAGCTGGTTTCCATCTCTCAAGGTCTCCAAACCACACCAGCTGCTCCATGTCAACTACATCTCTATCAAATGGACCAATACCACAACTTCACACACTCCCTGCTCCTTTCCCTCTCACCCACCCAGACTCCCTGGCTGTGTTCCAAAGAGAAGTGTCTGCAGCAGACCCATGGAATGCTTTCAACCCCCTCCCAGCTGGCTAGAGAATGGGTTTTTGAAACACACCTGTGAGGACAGCAGTAATGACACATTCTTAATTGTTAAGAACACAAAACACACAAGTCCCAAATTGTTTACAAATTTAATGAGTTACAAACCCGCACTTTTCAGTACAATGAACTTGCTTTTTTAAAAAAAAATTACCAAGCTTTCAGCATAGTAGTTCTGCTCAGATATCTGTAGTTTTTTAAAGAATATTTACAGAACTGTAACAAAAAAATAAGACTTAAGAGCATTAAAATTTAAGAAAAAATAGCTCACAATTCAACTGGCAGTAAAGTAATAACATCATCCAGCAATTGCTTTACAAAATCTGATCTTAAAATCTGAGTGCAAATCAATTCACATTAAAACCCCTGCAATTTTATTAATGAACTGATTTAAAAATTGGGTCTCTGACTGTTTAGATCATTTTCTTGCTCTTGCACTTGTTCTTGAGCTTGATCTTGTCTTCCTGTCCATCCCTCCAGCAGTCTGAGTGGCCCTTCCATCCTCTTCACCAAGTTCTTCTTTAGTTTTGTTTCTTTTCCCTTTTTGTAGCCTTCTATTGTCATCACTCTCTATTTGTACACAAAAAAAAAGGTTAACTGTACATTTGTATCACAAATCAAAACATTTTACATAAAATTCAATCTTCAGTTACATTGTTTTTAAGGAAATGTCCCTTATGACTACATTTCAAAGATTACATCTATGAATTCAACAAACCAGTTACAAACCCCATACTTGTGCACATCCAATATCCTTCAAGATAGATCCCTGAGGACTTACAGCTATTTCTGAAAGTAGGTTAACATTAATGAGAGCACCAAAACCAATTAGCTACCATTTTAGCTAAAATTCCTTCTACTGATGTGTAAGACTAAAACATATCCAACACCAAAGAAAAACCCTGCAAAAGTGAATAAATAGCAACTGTTTTGTGGCTCAGACAGAGCTGGAAAGACAGGCTTTAACTGTAAAGACTAGACACCTCATCAAGTATTTGGATGGCACAAGGAAGTTACTGCTCCATGAGATCAGCATCAAGCCAAGCACCAGACAGACACTGTCACTAAAAAAGATGACCTCCCTGGAAGAAAACATTCAGGCAGGTAAGAAAGCACCAGAAAAGATCCATCATTTGGCAAGTACATGTATCAGTAGCAGGAAGCAAGAACTAGCAAGTTAAGGTTAAGCACAGACAACAGAACAGGTAAAGAGCCAAAGAAAAATGAAATACACAGTCAAACCACACACAATTTGGAAGGAAATCCCTTAATATGTAGCACTGAAGATTGTTATTTCTAGTTGCATACATTAATTTAATAATATTTTCTATACATGGGAGATACATGGAACTTTTGTTGTGTTTTTAATTCAAATATAGCTACAAGCTCTTCAAGCATCAACTTCAAAAAACAGTTGATGACAAGTAAAGGTCCTTCAAAACCTAGAGCTACAAAAGCAGGACCTTAGATGGTATTTAGGAGAAACAAGTACAATGGGTGCTACAAATGTGTCATTATCGTGTTCATTCATTATCACCTTCTTCTGCATAACATCTGCATTTACTCTAAACTACAATTTCTTTTTATGGACTGAGAGAAAATATATTCTAGAAGAGCACAAAGACATTTTAGAACCCCAAAAGGAAGAATACATGCCATATCTCATAAAACCAATCCCCTCTAGTTGCTCTGAGCTCATAACAACCTTGAAAGTTCAGAGGCCAAGCTGATGTTCGTAACACCAGCTGCTCTCCAGTGTTGAAGAACATGGAGTCTATCCCAGCAACAACTAGGCCTGAAATGGAGACAAAGTAAGAACTAACAGACAAGAGTTTGCTTGGTGAGAAAAGCACTTTTGTGGATTTTTCCACTGTTTTTCTTTTATTCTCCAATGAGAGATTTTGCTCTCTATCTATATTAGAGCACAGCAGCCCAGAGTAATCTTAGAATTTTGTACACATTGTTGTTGTATCTTCAAATAACTTAGCTTTTCTTAGAAAATAGAAAGCAAGTCCTTGCCTCACCTGATTTTAACTTCTTGGACGCCAAGTCATCTGCTGGCAAGTGACATTTCCTTTTGCGAGAAGTGGAAGTTGCCTGTCGTGCAGGGTTAACCCCTTTTCCTTCTCCAGACTGATGATTTTTTTCAGAACCAGTGGATGTCAAACACCCGTTTTGGGCTTCTGAACTGGCACCATTCTCTGGCAAGTCACAGTTTTTATGGACAGAAGTGGAAGAAGCTGCCTCTGATGAGAGTTCTACCTTTTTCCTTTTATCCCTCAATTGCCTTGTTTTTTCCTGGGATGAATTATTTTTTAGAAGTGTATCCTTGTCTTGTTTAAGGATCCTCCTTTTGGGCAAGGCAGGTTTTTCCCTGAGAATAGCAGAACTAGTTTCTTCAGATTTGGAGGAAATTGTTTTCTTTCTGCCCACTCTTGATGGATTTTCTTTTGCAGCTGGAGCTACTTCAGACAGTATACTCTGCTGTTCTTCAGAAGTTTCATTCTTACCATCTTCTGGCAAGCCTTGAAGTGATGTGGAACTAAGCACCACTGAAGTGACTGTTTGTCTCAAGTTCCTTTTTGAGAGATTCACTTTTTCTTGGGGAGCAGAATTTTCCAAAATCAGCTTTTTTCCTTCCCCATAATTATTCTTTCTGCCACTTTCGTTTGATAAGCCCTGTTTTCCATGAGCAGAACTTGTGGCTTCTATTAAGAGGGTAATTTTTTTTCTTCTGCCTCTTCTCAATTGATTTTCTTTTGCAGGTGGATCCAGAGTTTCTAATGGAACATTTTGATCTTCTTTAGAAGCTTTTTCTCTATCATCATCTGCTGGCAAAGCGCATTTTCCTCTAAGAGAAATGTAATTAGTTGTGCGTGATGCCAGAGCAGTTTCCTTCCTTCTGCCCCTTCCTAATGGCTTCTCTTTTGCACAGGACACTGTTTCCAAAGGCCTGTTTTGTTCTTCATTAGTTCTCTGCTCTTTATCATCAGTATCTGACAAGCCACATTTTCTCTGGAGAGAAGATGAACTTTTTGCCTCTGCTGCTAGATCAATCTTCTTCCTTTTGTCCCTTGCCGACACATTTGCTTTTTCCTGCAAAGCTTTATTTCCCAAAGCTGAATTTTGATCTTCTCTCTCAGTCATCTTTTTATCATCACCTTCTAGCAACCCACGCCTTGTTCTGATAGAAAGAGATCTAGATGCTTGTGATGCTGCAGCAACCCCTTGTCTTTTGCCTCTCCTCAGTGGCTTGTCTTCTGTTGAAGAGGGAGCAGCTTCCAAAGCTGAATCTTCCTCTTTTACAAAAGCCTCATCTTTACAATTATCTGCACTCAGTGTTTGTTCTTCCATAAAGGTAGAACAATCTATCTGTGGTAGGGAAGCAACTTGCTTTCTTCTGCTCCTCCTTACTTGTGAGGAAGGATTTTCTGAAGCCTCATGTTGACCACCTTTGCAAGTCATTCCATTGTCATCCGCAGATGAACTCCCTTTTCCTCCCACTGTTTTGGAACTTGCTTCTTCAAGTTCAAAAGTAACTTTTCTACCTCTACCTCTTCTATGTGAAGTTTCACCATTTTCTGCTTGATTCTCCTGCAGAGTTCCAGGTGGCTCTGGTTTAAGTATTCCCCGCTCATTTCTTGTCCGCTTTTGATGGCTACGAGCACGACTGGCACTGTTGGCAGCAGGTACTGATGCTGCAGCCATGTGGTGCTTATTCTCGATACAAACAGAGCCCAAAGAATCTTGGAGAGATTTATCCATTGCTGTTTCTGACTTAGTTTTGGGAGTAACTATTTTTAGGTTGCTTACATCTTCAGCAAATTCATCAGTCTTCTTCTCCAGAGAGTCTTCTTTCCCTCTCCTCCTTCTAGTTCTGTTTGTTTCTTGTACTGCACTTCTGTTTACTTCCAAGGTAAGAGCAGTAACTGCCATATTGTTTGTGTCTCCAGAACATGACTCTGTCTTTAATCTTGGAGATGCCTCTGTTGTATTTTCCTGAGCATTTCCTGTTTCATCTCCCTGAGACACTGTAATCTCTTTTTTGATGCATGACTGTGCTTCAGTATCAGCTGAAGTTTCCTCTGTTTTCTGAATGTTCTGTATGTTTTCAAGCACCATCCCGCAAGTGTCAGCTTTTCCATCAGCTGAGTGCTTTCTGGCCCTTCTTAAAGACTTAACTCTTTTCTCTGTTATCTTTATTTCAAGCTTGGTTTTGCTTTCAGCTTCTTCTGCTGGTGCAGCCTCAGTATCTCGTTCACAAGTCTGTTCATCTCTTTTTATCATCTTTGCTGACGGGACTTTGCGAAGCATCCTTGTCCCGTGAAGTTGCTCAGAAGCAGTTTGTTTAACTTGGTCATTTCTAGCTCTTCTTCCTCTTCTAAGTGGAATCAGTAGTTCTGTGTTTTCTACCTTCTTTATTCCTCTAGACTTCTTTGCAGGTGACAGAAACATTTCTTCACTGTCTTCTATACCACTTTCATTAGATTTGTTTTCAGGACTTTTTAAACCCATTTGCACTTGACAATTTTCAGTTTGAGTACTCCTGCATGCACTTACTCTCCTCATGGTTGGATCACCCTCAGTTTCTAATATGCCATACACCTGCAAAATCTGTCCCATTGTCTCCGGTTCTTTTTGTAGCACTGAAGAATCTTTCCCACAGGACTCAGGATTCTCACTTGGATCTTTTAACTCCTTCCGTTCTTTCCTTTTACCTTGTCCTGATCTTTGAGTAGCTCCATGTGGTTCCACAACTGACACAGTTTCTACTTTTTCCTGAACAGGGTGCTTTGAATCAATTTCTTCTTGTATACAACAGTTTCTTCTCCTTCCTCTCCCTCTGTTTTTAGCTACTGCAGTTGAAGTACTGATTTCTCCCATCTCCTCTTGGGTGCTCTTTTTTCCCAGATCTTGCAATTCTTTTAAATTCAAATCCTTTTCACACTGCTTTGCTGAAGTAGGATCTGCTGTCTTCCTTGATCTGCCCCTTTTCGGTCTCTGGGTAGACTGGTCTTCACTGGTTGATTCCTTCTGTTGAGAATCTTCACCTTGTGAGATATTTCTTTTGTCTTCTAAAACATTTTTCCCCCATTTTAATTTTTTACATAGAAAAGAGCACAAACAAAAGTTATACATGACAATGTATCAAAATATCAGTGAGTTCCAAACTGTCCTAGTAGTGCCTTACTTGACCAAATCACACTTAATTTTACTTTAACCAGTTATCTTTGAGTGAGCTTTGTCCCTGTTAGACAAGTGACTCCAGGTACCCGAGGGGGAGGCTTTTCTTTTTGTCTGTGGGCCCATGTGGGATTATTATTAGTTGTTGTTATTATTATTATTGTTATTATTTTCATTATTATTCATGTTACGTGGGAGGTATCCCTGCCCATGCAGGGGGATTGGAACTAGATGATCTTTCAGATCCCTCCCAACTCAAACCCTTCTATGATACGATTCTATGATTACCTATGTTAAGACTATTCAAAAAAGCTTAGGAATTCTTAAGTAGTTATGGTGTAGAGCAGTAATATTCCCAACTGACATCTGAACTCGTGGTATTGTTTTTTAATTTATTGGAGGCTAAATAGTGTTGCTTGGAATAAATATTCATTCTTAGTCAGCTCCTTTTGAAGGATCTCCATCAGTGGCACTCAAAGGTTTAAGATATGTTTTGGAAAGTGTCCTGGTTTGAGCCAGGATGTAGCCAATTCTCTTTTTAATTATTTTTCTTTTTTTTTCCTTCAGTGAACTCTCTTACAAGCAGCACACTTGCTGAAACCAGCAGCAAATTTTCCAGCCAGTGGACTGATAGTGCCTCAGTGTTGATAGATTCTGCTGAGACACATTTTGCTCTGCTGGTGGATTTTGCTACTTTGGACACTAAGGGAGCAGAAGAGTTGTATCTACAACCCTCCCATAGGGAAGAGGAGACTAAACAGATGGCAAAATGGGCCAAAGTATTCTATCCATAAGATACTTGGCATTTGGTATAAACTCAGGTATCATGGAAGTTAGGCCCCTTCTTCTTCCCTTCTCTTTCATCCATGGTCAGTGTCAAGGGAGGACTCCATCTATCCATCACTATTGATGGCCTGTTCCTTCCTGCCCCTCATAACTCTGCCCTCAACTCCTGTTTTACTCTGCCACCATTTCCAGGACATCCTGGAGCTGCTCACAGCTCAGAAGAATGCTGTGGGAGTGGTGGGGAGGAGGCAATAGGGTTTTACACATTCCTGCACATTATTTCACAGCATTTCATTAAAGCTGTCTAGCTTAGTTTTCA